TAGATTAGTCCTTTTCCTTGTGTGAAATTTTAGAAATTTCCTAAAATGACAAATTATTTGGGACAAGAAGGATTAAAAGGGTGGAATCTTTGCCAAATTATAAAATGAGTGCATGTGTGTGGCTTTATATCTTTTACAAGAATATAATGATATATGGTACATGAATCTCACCTCCCGCAGCTGCTGCACAGACTCATAAATGCCTTCTTCGGTACACATATGACTATTGCATAGTAATCTGCAGTTACTTGGCCATTTCGTTTGCAAAATACTGGACTTACTGCGGGCCCCTACATTTATTTATATGAACACGACATGCCTAAGTTGGTCAGGAATTGAGTAGCGAATAGTTTATGGAGTGTGATTACTATCCCTCTGTCAAAGGGTAGTAAGATAATTTTCTGCTCTATTAAACTCTTCAGTAAAACTCTTAGTCTGTACCTGCAACCCTGATAAGGAATTTCGGCTCAATACGCGCTCAGCTACTTCCTCTGCAGAGTTTCCCCTCTTGCTGGCAGTTACCTGCCATGAAATTTATCACGAACCAATTGTTTTTGAAACAAGTGAAATGTTGGGAGGGGATCTTACACACTGTGAATTGACCCAAAGCACACAAATGAGCCTCTAGCCTTTCAAGCATCTAGCACATCATTACGTGTCAATGATTTCCTGCTAGCAACAAGGACCGCCTGTGCAGAAATATTAATCATAATATTTTATGTCCATCAGGTGTGGTACTAATATGTCATAATGAGGGTATGTGACTATGCAAACTTTGGAACTCTACATCCCTTGAAAATGTGCCTGCCTGTCAATATGAGCCGAAAACATGTTTTAAAATGATACTATAAATATTTTATAACATAATACAGTGCAATGTCCCTTTGACTGCATTCTTTCCTCAAACAAAATGACACTTAATATTTTATAATGATTGTTCTAGTGTTTTAAAATGGGAGCAATAATCTTTGGAAAGTAATGAGGTCAAAGGGCCATTGCACTATATAATGTATTATGTATACTTGAAGGGTTTTGCAAATGATAGTCAGGAACATTTGTTACCCAAACGTGATGGCCTATGAATATCTATTTCTGACATTCACACACATGAAATATTATCAATAGTGTATG